CACTAATATATTTTGGAACTGCTTTAGTAACATACAGATTGTAAATCCACACAGATTGTAAAATGCATTTTATTTGTATCCTAATGACATCAATGGAATTTGACAGAAGTGTTTAAATATAAAAATATCTTGGGGATGATTTTAATTATACGAGTTATTCTGTAATTTCATTTTATTAAAACATGTTCAGGTTCACTCAAACAATGCTATAAAACTTGTACAATAATCCAAATCACCAACAGGCCTGCTAGCTCAGAGATATTTTTGCTAAATGTCCTGCAGCATGCCTGAAGCTGGAGCCAAGGGTATTAATAGCTTATAATAATGAATAAAATAAAACATTGTGGGTTTACAGCAAATAATATATTTTTTCTGGACTCCAAACACAGTAGTCAATTCAAACAGTTTACTGCTGCACTAAGTTATGAACTTTGAAGACTATTTGAATTGTATATGGAATATACTTAGATAATGTAAATATTTTCAATATAACTATCTTAAGTAAGGCAGAGTGCACAATATTGCTCATTTTGTCTTTATTTTAAGGTAAGCAGTTATATAGTGTCAAAAGACATCATGTTACAACCAAGTTAGGAAGCCCATAAACAATGAAGTTGAAAGCTGATGGCGAAAGAGTGGTATGTTTTGGATGCTTGACACAACTGATTACATCTCTCTTTTTTCCAGGATCCATGGCACCTAAAGAAAGACATGTAGAGGAAATGTAGAGGAAACATGTTAAGTCTTTGAAAGAAGGAGAGCCAATCATTTATAAATGTACAAATTGATTGAAATTTCTAATGAGACCCTTTTTATTTTACAGCTCAATTATTGTTTTTCACAGAAGAAATCACAGGAAAAATGTATAGTGAAATTTATATTTTTATAGTTAGCAATAGGAGGTATTACACAACAGTTATTTTAAATACAAAAATCTAAACTGTATTTAAAACAGATAAACTCCTTTAAGGAAATCAGCCGTATGCTAAAATGGTATTTTTACCTGTTTAACTGTCAGAACCTACTGTATGCGAAGGTTATAAAATTGATGATCCATTTGAGAAAGTATTTTCTTTTTTAAATCCTGATAGATTTATATTGAGAATACACCTTTACAAAATATTTTCAGTCAACCATTATTTTATCAGGAAAACATATTTGGTAACCACTTGATTCCAGTACATTTCAAGACATATAAAAGGAATAGTGTTCAACGGAAGATTAAAATTACTTGAACTAATTGGACAGTTACTGTAGAAACCCAAATAACAAGAAAGGGGAATTAGATCTGCGAAAGAAAACTGCATTGAAATCCTATGAAAAATCTACCTGGTGCTGGCCATTAGTTGAAAAGTACTACAAATTAACTGCAGGTTGGATGCAAGGAGAACTCTTGTATAAATATATACCAAAACATATATTCCAGTATATACAGTGTGCTCTTATTCACGACTCTTGATCATCGGACCTTTACTTAATTTGGTCTCCCATGAAATAAACCATCAACAGGAATTATTGTGTTATTATAGATGTTATTATGTTGTACCTCTGTACCAGAGAGTGGTAAGAAACAGGTTTATTCTGAGACTACCTGTGGGGTAAAGGCAGCTTATTATTATAAAACTGTCCTTTAATAACTTAAACATGCCAAAATGAACAAAGGAACCTGCTACATCTGAACAGTGTACCATCCTGTATTCACCCAGCAAGTAGTAAAGGCTGCTGTTAAATGGCAAGTCAAGGGTCCCACAGACACCCATCCTGACCTATTCCCAGAAATTTCAATTTCGCAAAGTTACTGTAGAACACGGAGGGAAAAAAGGTGATGCATACAGCCCACATTAAAAATACAAGTTTAGAATATTTTAAATTTAGTAACTTTAATATGAGCTACTGTATGTGATTATCCAGGAGAAAAATTATGCTTAAAATAAACACCTGAACAATCAAAATTAAAAAAAATATCAGAATAATTAATTCAAAAAGTGTGTGAATGCGAGGTTTGTCAAAGGGACACAATCCACCTACACTTCTAGTAATCAAGCAGAATCACTGAAAACTAAAACCTTTTCTCGTGACTCGAAACTGTTAAAACTGTCAATTTTCCAAATGTTGTACTACTTCAGTTAAGGGTTTATAATGTTA